GGACGTTTGAATCGCGCGGGCCTCAGGAAGGAAAGACAAGCGTAATAAGGAAGAAAAATAGCATCAAATGGTAGAAAGGCAAAGCAGGGCCGGGTACAACCTTAAGTGAATTTGGACTTAAAGGAATAGTGGGCCAATACCTTAACACATTCTCCACCTTATTGGACCCTAGTGGTGTAGAGCATAACGCTCTAAAACAATTTGAGACTCATCATCACTGGATTGCCCGAATAATCACAAAGACATATTCAGGCAAAAGGGGTAACATCACCGGGCAACTTATCCGCAATCAATGTTTAACGTGCGTTTGCACGACAACAACTTTTCGACCGAGAGACATTTAGTCCCCATGTCAGCAGGATTAAATTCCGAAGGAATTTTAATCAACTTGATATGACCTGCACTAACAATATCACGTATAAAATGAAATCTAACATCAATGTGCTTAGTTCTATCATGAAAAACAGGATTTTTACACAATTGAATAGCAGATTAACTATCAGAAAACACACAAATGTCTTGCTTAAGACTACCAATCTCTGTTAAGAGACGTTTTAAGCCAAATGGCTTCCTTAAACACTTCAGTAGCAGTCACATACTCAGACTCAGTGGTGGAAAGGACAACTATGGGTTGAAGTTGAGACTTCCAACTAATGCAAGACCCGTAAAGAGTAAACACATAAGAGGTAGTGGATTTCCTATTGTCTCTATCATTAGCAAAATTAGAATCCACATACCCACTCAACTTAACCCCCTCAGAACACCTAGTGAAAACCAACCCATGATTAACAGAAGATTTCAAGTACCTCAGCAACCACTTAAGAGCATTCCAATGATCTAAACCAGGATTAGACATATACCTACTCAAGCAACTAACAACATAGGCAATGTCGGGTCTAGTACTCACCATGAGATACATCACGGACCCAATAGCATTGGAATAAGGCACATATTTCATTTTAGCAATTTCAGGAGCAGTCTTAGGAGACTGATCCTTACTTAACACAAAGTGAGACGCCATCGGGATAGAAACGGGAGTAGCAGAATGCATGTTATATTTACTCAAAATCTTTTCAACGTATGAAATCTAATTGAGAACTAACACACGCTTACTCCTATCCCTAACAATGTTAATGCCTAGGATCCTTTTGGCATCACCTAGGTCTTTCATAGCAAAGTTCTCACTGAGACGCTTTTGCACACATTTAATGGCGTCACCCGAAGGACTCACAATCAACATGTCATCCACATATAGCAATAAAAATATAGGCACATAGGAAGTATTTTTAAAGTATAGGCAATGGTCGCATTCAAACTTGTGAAATTTCAAAGATGACATGCACTGGTCAAATTTGATATTCCACTGCCTCGGGGACTGCTTCAGGCCGTACAAGGCCTTCCAAAGCAAACACACATGATAACTCTTCATGGGATCCACAAAGCCCTCAGACTGCGACATATAGATTTTCTTATCTAAATCACCATGCAAGAATGCAGTGGTGACGTCCATTTGCTTCATTTCCCAATCATTATGAGCAACAAGAGCAAACATCATTCTAATCGTAGTAAATTTAGCTACATGAGCAAAGATTTCAGCATAATCAACACCTTCCTTTTGAGTAAATCCCTTAGCTACTAACCTAGCCTTATATCTAATGTCGTTAGGCTCTTCCTTAACCTTAAATAGCCACTTACAGGCAACAACGGAACTATTGGGCGGTCTACGAACTAACTTCCAAGTCTTATTCGCTCTAAGTGACTCCATCTCACTTTCCATGGCGCAAAGCCATTTAGCGGACTCATTAGACTTAAGGGCCTCTCTATAGGTTCTAGGTTCGTTAAGCTCAAGGGTCTCAAACACAGAGAAAGCAAACATAGAAGTATCACACATATGGAAAGCATAATTAGGCATACTATTAGCAGTTCTCCTAATTACTCTCCTACTTCTATCTCTAGCAAGTTGATAATCATGCAAATCATTCTCACTAGAATCCGCACTCTCATCATGCGATTCATTGTCATTTGAATGCACATGAGAATGCTCCACCTCACTCGAAGTGGTGGTAGTATCATGCTCAGAAGAATCAGAATCATGCAATTCAGAAGAATTAGAATCATGCAAAACAACATTATCATGATTAGCAAACAAAGGGCTAGCAGCACGTGGTATGGACTCCACCTCAACGGGTGTACTACTAGGATCAGACTCAGAATCAGGAACTGACTTAACCAGACAAGGAAACTCGGATTCATTGAAAACAACGTTTCTACTCACCACAACTTTGAAACCTACCTGGTTCCTATCCCAAACCCTGTACCCCTTCACACCCTCGGGATAACCTAGGAAGACTCCTTTCTTAGACCTAGGATCCAACTTGTCACCTTGTTGGTGCACATACGCTGCACACCCAAACACTCTAAGATTAGACAAATCAAGGGGTTTGTTTGAAAAAACAGATTCAGGACACTTCCCACCCAAGGGAACAGAAGGAGAACGGTTAATCAAGTAGACAACAATGTTAACTGCTTCACCCCAAAACTTTTTAGACAAACCGGCGGTAGCAAGCATACTCTTAACCTTATCTAGAACAGTCCTATTCATCCTCTCGACTATCCCATTTTGTTGGGGAGTATAGGGCACAGTTTTTGCCTTCTAATCCCACAATCAACACATAGTTGGTCCATATCCTTATTGCAAAACTCTAGACCATTATCTGTCCTAAGGGTTTTGACCTTCTTACCAGTTTGATTTTCTACAAGGTTTTTCCCCAACCCACCGTTGATTTTCCAACCTGCTGTTATTTTTCCAGAGCCACCGTTGATTTCCCCGACCCCCAACGTTGATTTCCCCACCCATCGCTGATTTCCCCTATGTGTTTCAAACTTTTTTAGTATAATTTACTTTCAAAGAATACTAAAAAGTTACTGAAAAAGTACAACATTCCATATATATCATATAAATACTCAGCCAGCAAATATTTCATCACACAAATGAACTCATATTTTAACTAAATGATCATATTTTAGTATGATCGACCAAGTCGACTCAAATCTATGAAGCACAGATACTTCCCTAGGGTAGCGTATCGTCATATCCGATACGTTCCCGTATCCGATACTCTAGGATACCCGTACCGTACGTTCCCGTATCCGATACTCGTATCCTGACGGATACCCGTATCAACTTTTAAAAAAAATCCCAAAATTTACTTAATAAAATTCAAAAAAAAAATGAAAATCTAAAACTACATTTTACTTGGTAATCAAATAATGGGCCTATATGGCTATATCCGAATTAAGTTATTAACTCATACTCCGAATTGGGTACTTGCACTTTTAATTTCAAGATTGTAGTTGTTTGACTTATTTCTCTTTTTAAATTAATGACTTATTGATTACATTTATATTTCGAGATGCACTAGTGTATATGAGAAATATTATGAATTTATTACTAAGTATCTTGAAAAGAGAAAATGCTTCAATGCAATGAATGAGTAGACATCATAGGATATTATATGTGTATATATATTTTTCAAAAAAATCCATTTTTAATATTTATAAATAGACCCCTATAACTTTTAATATTTGTAAATACACCCCATAACTTTTAATATTTATAAATATGGCCCCGTATCCGTATCCTACTTTTTTTGGTTTTGACGTATCCCAATACCCGTTTCCGCGTTTCCGGTATCGGTGCTACATAGACTCAAATAGGCTGATGACCGTCACATAGCTGGCTAATTTAGCGCTGAACACTATGTGATCTAGTCTTGTGAAAGGTTTCTTATCTCCTTCTATGTCTGCTAGTGGGTAATGAATCACAGGCTCCCTCTCGGTCAATAGTCACCTAGGTGCCTGCTGAAGCATGCAATATGACAATGCCTTAGCTCCTTCTATGTCAAAGTGTGAAGCAAGTTGCGTGTTTAGGCAACGCGATAAAGCTCCCTTGATAGTTCTGAATCCGACTAAACAATTTCTTAAACGATTCAGAAACTTCAGAAAAGCAACAACAAAAGTAATCCTCCAATCAGACAAAACTCAAATCACATACGCGTGGAAGATAATAAAAATGGAAACTCTAGAATATTTGTGGATTCATAATTTATCCAGGGAAAGAGTAACGAATTACCTGCATATTCATATCAAGTTTTACCAATTTTGGGCATAACTTAAGCAAGTGAATTAATGCAGAAGAAACATCATCATTTGATAACTTCAGAAATTCCGCATTTAGTGCAGGTGGTTGTACCCTTACAGAAATCTTCAACTAAACTCTTAAAAACCAAAAAGAGAAGTGCTACATCAGTTCCTAACAAGCCCCACAATTTATATATAAACAGAAGTCATTGTCAAAGGTCTATCTGGCAGTCATACCTTGAGAAAACCCTGACCTTTAATTGCTAAAGCACCAAGTGCTGGTGCAGCAATGTTAAAATGGATCATGTTTTTACATCCAATAAATGATAGATTTCCAGCATGGGAAGATCAATCTTATGATAATCTTAAAAAGCATTAGGCTTAAAGACAACACTTAACATAGTGAGGTGATGTTTGGAAATACGCAAGGAGCAATTACCCGTTCAACGGAGACTCCAAAAATATGCAACTTGGTGGTGTGTATTCATCTTGTAGCTTACAGTCAATACTAAGGTGGATTTCTTCAGCACCTTACTGTGTGACATGAAGGAGCCATAGGTCCATGTGATAATACCTTGATTTAAGTAAAACCTTATGAAAGTAAGGATCAAAGAAGAATTTGTGAATTTGCCCATTGTGCTGCATAGGAACTTTGTTATTTACAAACAACTCAACAAATAGTCCCATTAACGACATAATGTATTTTGGATTGATGAATTGGCAATAGTCCTATTAACTTGTCAAGTATTTAAGCAGGGAGTTCACTGATTCTCTCTCCTTTTTTTTACTCATAGATCCACATTAACACCATTGCTCAAAGCAAATAATAGTAAAAAAACAAGAACAATCTTAAAAGTTTTGGTTCATTGTTTATTCGAAAGGATTAGTTAGCAATTTAGCATGAAACACACAATATAACAGAGCATGCAAACTGGCATAAATAGTCATTGGTACCACCATAGCATTAATGCATAACAAGCAAAATTACTAAATAAAGTTTGAAACTAATGTGTAATCATCAATTACAGTCCCAATATATGCTCGCATCATTACTTAACCTCACTCCATTCCAACTGGATGTGGAGAAAACAATGAGCAGTTTCAATGACCTTCAAACCTACACCTACTTCAATTTTTTCAGTGCAGACCAACATCTTTTCATTGGAGATTCCATAGGATAAGTCAATGTCAATCATGAGAGCGGAAGATGATGGAACAACAATCATAGACCTAGAAAGTGGAATAATCCCCTCGCCACTTACCCGTACGCAATCATCTTTCATCTTCTCCAAAAGTACACTCCGGTAATACTTATTTTTGTAGCAAGAAGAATAATCATATTGACTGTAATAAGCAACAAGATCACCGTACAGCCAAGGAAGACTAAGGCTAGCAACCATAGATGACTCCTTCGAAAAATAAGAAACTTTTACACTGACTTGCACTGCGTCTGAGAAAATGCTGTAATGCACTGCTGCAAATGCATGGACACCTTGAATAAGTGAACAAAGTTGCTTGTCACGCCATGATGATAAATCAAGAATTTCAGCCCCCCAATCTACGTATCCCTTTATGTCACTGCTGTCTAAATAGTGACCATCAACACATTTGAGATCGAATTTCATTCTCAGGGGAGTACACTCCTCATATAGTCGAGAGTCGCCGTCTATAATAGGTATGGTGGTTTCGTTGCTGTGTATTGACAACTTCAAGGCATCCTTCTTATCTCTCTTGAAGATGTAAAATAAATGATTATCATTACATAAAACCTCTACCAAACCATATACTTGTGCTAGCTTCTCCTTCTCCCGACCAACGAAAACAGAAAATACTTCTATTGCCGCAGATGGGAATGGGATGCTCTTATGACATTGGAGCTCCCATGGTTCAATAACATCTTGGAACATGCTACTTGCTTCTATGACTGTATTGGGTGAGGACAGTGTCATTGCATCATCATCAGAACAAGAGTCGTCTTGTGGTCCTTCTGGCAGAAGATAAAACCATGACACACAAACTTCAACTAAAATATCCCCAACAGTAAAATTGTCTCCCGACATTAGATAGCTTTGTGCTCTCAATTCGACCACTTCTTTAAGAATCTTGTGCCCCGTTTCAAATTCTGACAAATCCAAATCCAACACAAGAGAAGAATATCCTGGCAAAGCTACCCAATACCTTGAGAGAGGTAAACTGTCCGTGACTTCCATATCGACTTGTTCAAAGTCGTGCGGGTTCTTTTTGAAAAGCACACACTCTTCGGAGTCGTAATTCCCATATGTGTTTCTATAACGGGCAGCAACTCTGCCATTAATCTTAAGACAATGGGACCTCTCCCTTGTTCTCTTACAATGTTGTTTATGATCAAAAGATATGCCTACCCGAGCATAAACCCCAAATGGAATTGCAATGTACTTCAATACTAGGGATGCGCGGTCACTGTGAATACATTTCTCAATAACGTTTTCATAATCGTCTTCCTTATTTTCATTCTCTAAATAGAAAGACTCTTGAACAAGTACATTTTGATTCAAGTCTAGTAGTTCAAACACTATCCTAGTTTTCATCAATGGCATGCATGCTTCAAATGGATAGCATGAATCATCCGGGCTGATGAGTGTCAGCATACCACTCGAGCCCACAACCTCGGCCTTGTCGTAATCTCGCTTATAAAGGTCATGTACAATCATTTTTTCACCCGTGACATCAATAAACTCTCCATAAATCCTACCGTGGATGGAAACTGGTTTCCCCCCATCTAATTTTTTGGTTGGTAGGATGCTCACTGAAATCACCTGCACTAAGGGCCCTACTTGAACTTGAGGACTGCCATTTTTCTTTTGCTCTTCCCTTCTACGATTAAGAGAACTAACACGGAATTTAAAAACATCAATAAAGTCTTCACATGAAACTGGCATATCTATGTTTTCTGCAATCTTCTCTATTTCTTTCCTTGAAACATTTGCGTACTTCTTCATAAACTTGTCCACATCCATAATTCGAAGCAAATCTCTTACCAAAATCGACTTAAAAGTTTGTATATTAATATGAGAAGCCACACGTAACTAAGGAATATGACCTCTGTGACTCTGAGAAGGGCGAACCACCGAAGGGCGGAGTGCAGCCGTGCTGCCCGTGCAGACTACCTGGCGACGACGGGCGTGAGGCGAGTAGGCCACGAGGCGTGCTGGAGCCTGGCAACTCACTGATTCTCTCTCCTTGTCGTCGTTATAACAGCCATAATCCAGTCTTCTTCTGGAGTATATGAAATTTGTCAAATACATGTATTCAGGGGCAGATTAAGAAAAAAAAATTACAGGACCACAGGGGTAAGATTTACTAGTTTTTAGTTTTAGTGTACATGCTTACACTAAATGAACTAAAAACAAGTAAAACCAATATAATTCGCATTCTTCTTCGCATTAACACCTTTCTATTTGACAAATTCTCAGTAAAAAAATACAGAACATCATTGTCAAAACTGAGATAGCTTTTCAAGATGTTTGCTACGAAAAAAAAAGAATGCAATCACGTCTAATACGTTAAACTTAAATAAATTATCAAAGAAGTCTTAAGAATATAAGCTTCATTTATGGTTATAACAATTGCATGTTGCACATCACCGAAAACAAAAATATTGATACTAATCAATCATACTGTTTTTATGCGATGAATTAAGCACTGGCTCCGTGGCTTCATATATTAGAACTGAGACAGTACATAGAATATATCATGATGAAGTCAGCTTCACAAGCATGCAAATAGAATGAGATGACAAAGAAATCCGTCTTTCAAATCCTATTTGTTAAAGAGATATAGCAAATCTTCTCACCTGTTACGTTGCTGCTCCAAGTATTTGTGGATGCTTCAAATAACTCTTACAAATAGGTTTTTAGAAATTTTAGAAATCTTGGGAGACAAGTTTCTGAAAATTTGATTCTGCTTCTAAAACTGGTTTGATTATGAATCTAATCTCATGCACAAAGATAGAAGTAGGGTTATTCGTGGGCCTCGTGGCGATTGGAAAGGTGGAGGAATATTTTGTTCTTTTTTACTTGCCCGTTAATCTATAGTCAAATCACTATGACACAAATTATGAAATAAAAAATTACAAACAGAAAAAGGAAAGAAAAAAACGAGAAAATTGCCCAATATAGGAGTAAACATAAACATAATTGCACAAATAGGAGTGAAACTTAAAACTTCCTTCAATAGGAGTAAACATTAATTTTGTACCCTTAATACCCCTAACCTAGTTAATTCTAAAATATTACTTATTTGATTCTAATAAAATATATAAAAAAAATCTAAAATATTTGAAAAAATATATTGAAATAATAAAAATTAAAAAAAAATTAAAAAAATAAAAAAAATTTGAAAATAAATAAAAAATAGATAAACCACATTAAAAAATATAAAAAATTATGCAGGCCTTTGCAGAAACCTTGGCCATCACCCAGCAATGTCACATCCGATCGGCGGAAAAAGTGCCATCTTATGTTAAAACTTCCATTTTTCTTTGAAAATGCCATAAAGATGACAGTTTTGCTCTTTGAAAATGCCAAATTTTCTCAAAATTTGCCATCATGATGACATTTCGGAAAAATGTTGGCATTTTTTTCAGTGGTCGGAGCTGGTGGTGCTGGGAGGTTGTTGAGGCGGCGGCAGACGCCTACATTTTTTTGGTTTTTTTTAATTTTAATTTTTTAGTTTTTTATTTAATATTTTTTATTTTAATAATTTTTATTTTTATTAATTTTATTTAATACAAACTATGTTTTATTTGATATATTTTTGTGTTTTTAAATTTTTTTTTACAATTTTATTATAAATTAATGTTATTCCTTTTATGTTTTAATTATTAATGAAAGTTGTTGGGACTTGGGTAAGGATATACTTGTCTAAACACTAAAGTTACTCCTATTCAAAACATGGTACTCCTATTTTTGCATTTTGCCTATCTTTTACTCCTATTTGGGGAATTCTCTCATATGAATACGATTATGAAAATTAAAGTGTAGTAAAATTTTCCAGATATAGAAATGAGGAGGAATAAAAATAATCTTTTAAAAGAAATAAACTACAATTAATCATATAACAATGGGAGTAGTATCTTTTTTTTATATAGGGAAAATGTACAAATATACTCTTGTTGTATGTGTGTCAGTTGTGAGAACAAATATATCGTTGTTTTATTTTATAGAACAAATATACCCTTTAAATTTATGTGGAAGTGCATTTATACCTCTGAATTTTTAAAAGATGAAATATTATTATTCATGTTATTATAAAACAGTAAGTTTACTCTTATTGACTTTAAATGAATAAAACAGATTTTGAATCACATCCAAAATAAATTATAAATTTGAAATTGAAAAAAATAGATTAAAAATTTGAAAATCCACTTGTGTCCAATTCTAACTTCTATCATTTCTATATCACTATTTAATATTGTTAGTATAAAATATTATTTTTAAAAATCATTAACTTTAGTAAAAATATATATATAATTTTTTGCAATGTAAAAAACATCATTATTTTTTTGTATTATTTGCACTATAAATTTCATATTTTCTATGATGATAAATACTCCAAGATTACAAATAGTGAATTTAATTGTATTGAGGTTAAACAAAATCAAAGAATGTTATTTCAAAAAATGTAACAATGTGCTCAAAATTTTTCAATAACACAAATATAATATTTATGAATTTGAAGAGCTTCATTTACAATGTAAAAAAAATTGCAATTTTAAATTAAAAAGTGAATATTTTAAAAAATAACTTTATTTTTGACTCTTTAATTTTTTTTATTTTTCAATTTCGAATTCATAATTTATTTTTGGTTCTTTTTAATTTTATCTATTTATTTAAAGTCAATAAAAAAAGTAAATTTGCTCCTTTATAGGAACATGAAGAGTACTTTTGCACTTTCTAAGAAGTTTAAGAGTATATATGCACTTCTTCATAAACTTCAAGGGTACATTTGTTCCAAAAATAGAAGATGGGTATATTTGTACATTTGTACATTACCTCTTATATATAAAGAGTGTATGATACAGAACCAAATAGAAATCTATTTAGAACTGAAAAAGTGAGAAACGGTTATCTTAATTAAAGAATTAGTTAATAACTTTGTAATAGATAATAAATATGCATAAAAAATTAAAATAATAGATAAGGAACTATTGCCATAGAGGAGCGAGAGTTATCCTCTCCAAATCTTCGACTTGTCTAGGGCGTTCCTACGCCGCTAGGGTTCGGTGCGTCCGATCTCGGCGATTGGCCGAGGATCGCGAGCGAGTGGAGGCGGCGAGCGGTTGTCGTGGTTTTGCTGGATGAACGGAGGTATACGAATGGAAGATTTTGTGGCTTCATACAAGAAACTTTCGATGAACGAGCAAGAGAACGAGTTGAATTTTGATGAAGATGCAGCGGAGGACGTCGAGGAGGATGCAGGGCCGACTGGTTTTCCGGCGGTAGCAGTGGTGATTTCGGATCAGAAAATTAAACTGGCAGGGTTTCAGGAGATGATGATAGCGGTTTGGAAACCTGTTAAAGGTATGACTATCAAGGAAATCGGCGACAAAAGGTATCTGTTAATTTTTAATCACTGTTTGGATATGAATCGTGTTATTGAGGATGGTCCTTGGCTATTTGAGCGCGATTTGATATTACTAAAAGCTGTTCAGCCTGATGATATACCTGAATCAATGAATCTGTATGAGGCTAGCTTTTGGGTACAGGTTCACAACGCTCCTATAAAGTATAGGAATTTGCGATCTGCTAGAAGAATTGGTAATTTTCTGGGCTCTTTCATTAAATTTGAGATGAGCCAATTTGATGGTAGGCAGACTTCCTATCTGCGTATTGGGGTGTCTATGGATGTTCGCCAGCCTTTGAAAAAAGGCACTAATCTGACACAGGATGGTATTAAGCATTGGGTGGACTTTAAATATGAGAAGTTGCCCAGTTTCTGTTTCATTTGTGGCATTATTGGTCATTCTGATAAATTCTGCCCGTTGAAGTATGAAGAGGGTTTTGTTGCTGAAAAAACATTTGGAGTGGAACTTAGAGCGGGAGGAAGAGTGAAGACCAGCCCTACAGGAGCATACAAATGGACTTCTGCGGGAGCTTCAAGCTCTGAAGGGTATGGCAGCCAGTGGAAACCTGCTTCTGGAGGAGAGTATTCGGCTGAGTCCAAGGGCATCAAACCGGTACTATTTGTTAGCACCAACGAGGAGGAGATGCCTGGGGAGCTCAAGCGCAGGAGGACTTGGGAAGCTCAGGCTGGACAAGGCGTCGTTGATGAAGACATGGGCATGGAGGGGTCAAAAAACGGAGGGGAGGCGGGTCTGGCTCCCTAGACCCGCCAAGACTGTGTTGGAAGTTTGTGGGGAAGAAATCTTGTTTTGGTTTCTTTATTTTGTTCTGTTTCGAATTTAGTACTCTGCATTGTTCTGTTTTGTTTTTCTGTTATGCGTTTATTCCTTGTAAGACTCTCGCATTAAGTTTGGGGGAGGGAGAGGCTGCGGTAACCGTCATTAGCTCTATGTTGCCCAAATTTGGTCTAGCGAGTTATACTGCTTTTGCACAGGTGGTTAGCTCTCAGTCTCGGCCACGGGCGGATGGTTATTTGTGGTTCTTTTCTAGTTTTATCCTCCTGCTGAATGCTACTCTTATGAATTAAGGATTCTTCGAGCAAAAAAAAACTTTGTAATAGATAATAATTAATTATTATAAAATCATGTGATTACTAGTTACAAATTACAAGCAATAAATAACACATTTAAATGAAAAAAATTTAAAACTACTACAACAGAGTATAATTGAAAACGTAGAAACATAAAAATTCATTTAGACACATAAAAAATAAAAATAGAATAATGAAATATTATTTCTTAAAAATATAAAAAATGTATGACACTATTACATTACTAATTGTTTGGTAATAAAGACACGATTTAGGCTATGTTTGCATGTACTTATAAATCACTTTTTCTTCGCTTTGCAAAAGCTAAAAAAGGTTGTTTGAAAATAGAAACTTTTACTTATTTACTTAATCACTTTTGAATAAAAAACAAGAAGCAGCCTTGTTGTGCATTTACCTGCTTCTAGATTATTTTGTAACTAATTCAACTTTGGAGGATAAAATTTATTCCCAAACTCCCCTAAAATACCCTTGTATCAACCTCTCGATCGAGCTTCTCTTCTCCATGTTTTGCGTCTTCTATTCTTTCCTGTTGATCTTCCCTATCGTTGTTTAGTTTCAAGTGTTAATAGTTTTGTGATGGTTTTGGTTCTGAACTCGAGGACCGATTGGTAGAGTTCAGTCCATCGTGAAGTGGGTTTGCACGGTAAGCTTGGTCCGAAAGGGAACTTTGGTTCTCATCTATTACTTGTATGATCGCAATGATGTACTTGTAATGGTTCAGCGATGATGAGTCTCCTCACAACCGTGTATTTGTTACTCTACACCACCTAGGACCAATAAGGTGGAGAATGTTGGAGGTATTGGTCCTACCAAGGCCTCCCCTCTACTTATTATGTTAAGTCTCTTTATCTCACTGTGACTTCACTGCCTGTCTAATTATTTTGAGAGTTCCACCTAAATTATTTAGCCAACACTCTTTGACTTATTATCTGCCCACTGCCAAAATGTTGGGCTCTCCTTTCCTTTGTCCATGGTGCCCCATGCCCGTGACTTCAATAATAGGTGGCTGCCTATTATAACCGAGTGTTCCTCTCCTTTCCTAAAAAAAAAAATGACACCCCATCCCTGAGGGCCCCCCAACACCGACCGGACGGCACGATGGGAGGATGTAAATTGGACTATAATCACAATCTGACAGATAGAGAGTGGGGCTCTGTCCCCGGTACTTACAGAGGCCCTATGCATTTTTCAGCATAGTAATCCCTCATCGTAGTTGTCGGGATTCGAACCCGAGACCTAACCCTTGTGGCACTCCCTCTCCTTTCCTGTAAGTGAGTGAAGTAGACTCCTTCCAATC